AGAACGGGAAAATAACAGCATGTAAACATTTCTTCAGGACGCTAGAATATAGATTACGGTAATATGAAAGATCTACTCTAAGCAATCCTAGCTAGATGCAAGCGAAAAAAATCAGTACAAACTAACGTTTGATGTTTTTTTTCTTATCTTGATAAACTTATCATTGTCGCTTTTTGCGTCTATTATATTTCTTTTCTATCTCGTCAAACTTGTCACTATGTATTTTTGCGTCGATTATAGCTCTAGTCAGTATGAAAAATGGCAACAAATACAGGTACAACACTTGGCATGAGTAAAAATTACAATGAAAATTCTTCTAAACAATTGGCTGTAATTAATTCAATGAAACCTTATATTTATTTGGGTATCGATCATTTAAATATTTCACCTACTTCTTCTCGCTTTATCATTGCTGATTTTGGTTCATCTCATGGACATAATTCAATACAAGCCATAAAAATAATTATTCAATATCTACAACAATCAAACAAACTTTCTACATCACCACTTGTTATTCATAATGATCTTCCAACAAATGATTGGACAACACTCTTTCAACTTCTTGCAGAAGACAATTCGTATCACGGTGTGGCTAATGGTCATTCATTTTATCAGCAATGTCTTCCATCAAATTGTGTATCAATTGGCTTTTCATCTACTTCAATTCATTGGCTATCTAGAATACCTTGTCAAATCTCAAATTATCAGTTTTATACTCTTGCTGCAGAGAATGAAAGGCAAAAATTCAAACAACAAGCAAAACTCGATTTCGATGCTTTTATTGAACATCGAGCTCGTGAACTTGTACCAGGTGGAATATTCATTCTTAGTATTCCTGGTGTTGATCATCAAGGAATAGTGTCTGTTAGCCGGTACTTTGAGTTGCTCTACACATGTGCACAATTACTTTTCAATACAAAAGAATTGGCGGATTTTACACTTCCTGTATACTTTCGTAGCTTATCTGAATGTATTGATCATGCACTGTTCGATCGATGTTCATTACAATTAATTAAAGCAGAGTTAGGTGAAGTGGAAGCGCCTGCACTGCAACAATATCGAAATAGACAATTGTCACTTGATCAACTTATAAAAACAAGGATAAAAGCCGTTCAATCGAGTATGGAATTATCCTTACAACAAGTATTGGAAAATAATGATCGTTCGAAAGAAGAAATCGATCGATTGTTGATAGAGTTTTGGACTTTATATGAAACGAAACTAAGAGAACAATCACATTTATTCATCTCTGATAAGCCATCGGTATATGGCTGTTTAATTTTGAAAAAAATCAAAGTAATTGACAACTAAAATTTTTCAATTTCAACAATATCCCTATATAAAAAAAACTTTACTAATTGATCAAAGAAAACTCTTCTTAAACATTTTCTTGTCGAATATGATGCATACTTTTTGATTATTCAAGCACAGATACAGTTTTCGAAATATGTCCGTGGCGACAAAAGTTCAGCAATTCGAAAAAACAAACCGAACTAGAACTGAAGCCACAATTGCTGGTTATTTTTGGAACCGCCGAACACTAGTGGCTGACTAGTTTCGTCAAAATTTGATTGCAATCAATTCTTTTTCATATTGACACTTTTTTATCACACTATCCGGTATTGATAAA